AAACATTCTAATTTTGTTTTAGGTTCTGGCAACTTAACTGGAAAGAAGTTCCATTTTTAAAATGTGCCTTTTTAAACAATAGAACTAGTATCTTACAGGCATTTTAACTTTTATAACCATTTTTATCCACAACCCAATTACTTATTAATCCAAAAAACAATTCCTTTAATATCTGGCAAATTCTTAAAATTTAAAATGCTTCTTATTTTTCCTTTCTTCATTTTAATATTACTTTGTCACTTTAAGCTTTTAGTTATATCTATAACTTTGCTTTGACATAGCAGTGTCTTTTTCTTGATTTTACAGAGTGTTTTTAAGTAATCTAGATGTTGTAAGAATCCTACGTTATCTTTCTATATAGCCTACCCCATTTCTTGTTATCTCCTAGTATATAAGCTTTTAATAGCATAATACATTTAAATTAAATTTGTAGTATTTTTATTGTATACTACATAAAATATTCTAAATAGTTGTTTCAGAATCCATAACTTAAAACTGTGTTGAGTAATATTTAAGCAAAATTTTAAATACTACTGATAGTTTGTTCAAGTACTCATAAAGACTAAAGGTATATATAATTTAGTGTTCAAATTTATATATCACATGCAATTTAGCTAAAATGGTCAAATAATACAATCTATACATATGGTAAATACTTTGATAAAATGTTTGCCTATAAAATAGGACTGTCATATTAACAGAGAAGGGTCACTATATCCAGTGAAAACTGTGAATGCAAAAGAGAAAGTTTCTATCATGGGAAATGTGAAGCTCGACAGTGAAGTTAAGCCAAATTAACAGTTAAATTTTAGTTAGCATTTTTTAAAATGTGATCCAAGATAACACTAACTTTTACTGAAGAAACCAAGGCTATAAAGATTTAGAAGGAAATGGAGGCTACAATTCATATTAAAAGAAAAAAAAAAAAGCAGTTCTGAGAATCCATCCTTGTCAAAAACTATTCCACCCATCCCCAAGTGTCATTATTACCTAATTAAAGGTAGTATTTCATTACCTTAGGCTGTAACACCAAAGCCTGGTGTTTCTTTTGAGTTCCTTCTCAATCATCAATAAAGTATAAAAGTCGATATAGAGCAGAACTTTCCAACTTTTTCCTCATGCACACTTAGAAAAAGAACATTTGTACGGCAACAAGGAAAGAGGAGGAACTGCTAGTGGTGAAGAGGCAAGCAGTTTGGGAGCTCCAGTCACTTTTACCTATTCATGAGCTCTAATTTACAGTATGAAAGGGTAGGCTGAGAAATAAATTCAACCTTTGTAAGCATCATAAAAACAGGCAAGTTATAGGTAAGCATCAGAGGAAATAACTTCTAATCTCTCTGAATGAATGAATGAATGAATGAGCACTGACCTAATTATACAAAAGGCCATCTTCCTGAAAAAAATCCCAGGGAGCCTGCTCTTTATCTGAGCTCCCTTTCTTGTAAAAGAAGAAGAGGAAGAAAAAGAAGAAGAAAAAGAAGTAGCAGCAGCAGCAGCAGTCGTAGTGAAATATAACCCTTTGGGAAATGTAACAAGACATTTTTAGTATAGTAACTGTAAATCAAAGACTGGAAAAAGTCTTCTACCTAAGTGCCTATATTTTACCTTTGAGAAAAGCCACCTTTCTTCTTCACTATTGTTAACCAGTATTCTGACTAATACACACTCTTTAAAGTATTATCTAGTATTTCTTTTTTAGCTACCCAAGTATTTCTTTATTACTTCTTTATTAGCTATCAGATTACTAACTACTGATCATTTCTTAGAGGACACAAGTTTTCTCGTAGGTATGAAAGGCAGGTATCTCACTTCATTTCTAGAATTCACCTAAGGTAGAAAATACTAAGATGTGACTCACATTAAAAAAATGGGTACAGAACACAGTTTTTACCAAGTATCTTTTACATGAATTGCATGGAGATAAGTTAGTTGCAGTTTACTCACCAAGGATTTTAAAGAAAACCATCATTAACTTGGGAAGACCTTTGTAAACTTACAGGCAGTCATAATTTACTTCCTTTTTAGATAAATCATGAAACTCAAATCCAGAAAAATGATTAAAATAAAACCAATTAATGAAAACATCAATAGATAAGGACATTAATGATCTCAAAATGCAGTGATAATGAAAAACGTATACACTTCAATTCTGTTATTGCTTCAGAATTATCTTGGTCAGATGTGCATTACCCAAGAAAGGGGGCCAAATAATGTGCTTATTTCAATGTCCCTGTCCCATTTATCTTGAGATTCCATAAGACTGCTATTTTCAATTCATCTCCAGGTGTTACTGCCACTGCCTTTGATCACAGAAGTCCCCATCACCTAAACTCTTCACTATTGCTAATCCCTACAAGAAAAGTGGCAACCTTTCAACTGAAAGTAATTTTCCTTTTATGTCTACACAGAGATATACTTATCATCCTTGTTCACAAATAAGATTCCTCTAGGCAAAATGGTCAGGTGAAACAAGAGATGTTCTGATTCCTAGGTCAGTGCTTCTATCAGGAAAACCTATCTTCTTGTTAATCTATTATGATTCTATACCCTAGGATTAGGTTATGGGCTCAAATTAAGTCCTGACAAGGAAATAAGTTTTTGTGTGCTCTTTCTGAATCCCAGTTTTATTCTCACTAGCTTTATGTCAAAGCCACACTATAAGCAACCACCTGATCCATCAATCTGAGCTTTCTCTGACCAGCTTCACTCCTAGTTAATGCAGATTTGGTCCTGTATTTAATTATCCTAAAGTACACTGTCCACCATCATTAATATAACTAATATTCTGTTTCACTCTGATATTCCTTTTCTCTCCTTCACATCTAGGTCATCCTTTCCTTGTTTTTATGCTTTTTCTAGCAACTATTTTCTCCAACTCTTTCTCCACCTTTGACTTGTCTTTTTTCCTATTTTTACGAAATTAAAACATGCCTTAAATCTTCACTATTTCATTCAGTTACTAAAATCTACAACCTCTCCTCTAACATTTCCATTATTATTTACTCAGAAAGAAGCATAAAATTCCAGGACAGGTCACCATATGCTCTTTCTTAGAAGTTTACAAGTTTTATTTAAATAAGCATTAGTATGCCACCCACCATCTTATGCAAACTCAAAACCACCTTTAAATATTTAAACTTTTAGACACAGTATATTAAATTTATTATATACACTTATGACTTCAACTGGGGTTTCCTACAATCCTAAAACCACATTCTGGTTAACTGAGATACCTTGTCAGGAATGAATCATAAACTCAAAAAACAGAGTTGGGGGGTGCCTGGGTGGCTCAGCGGGTTAAAGCCTCTGCCTTCAGCTCAGGTCATGATCTCAGGGTCCTGGGATCGAGCCCCGCATCAGGCTCTCTGCTCCGTGGGGAGTCTGCTTCCTCCTCTCTCTGCCTGCCTCTCTGCCTACTTGTGATTTCTATCTGTCAAATAAATAAATAAAACTAAAAAAACAAAAAAACAAAAAAAAAAACAGAGTTGGAAAGCTTTCAAGAAGATTTAGGGTAACTCCATTTAACTGAGGCAAAAACTGGGGCATAATTTGGGCAACTTTCTAAATTACTAAAAATAACTCAGTAATAAAAATACCCAGAAACCAAACCAGAATTAAAAGTAGATTTAATCAAAATGTTCGTGTATTGAAAGAATTATTTGGAACTTAAAACACATTTTCAATAGAAATAACATTACTAATACTAAGTAAATGGGCTTACAAACTAGTCCACAATTACATATTTGAAGGGAATTCTAGCTATTTTCAAGAATCTTGGAAATTTTTGGCATTTTATTCTCCTTTTGCTTCTAAGTGTGTGCTTTCCTTTTGCTTGATGCAGAAATGACATTAACAACACTGAGCTTCTCAGGTATGACTGCACTTGTTTTTTGGCTCACAAATGAAATAAAAAAGAGCTTTCCATACCAATTAAAAGAGAGTAAATACCTAACATTATCAAAGTTTAGATTCAAATTTTAAAATATATAGACGGAAGGAAACTCATCTGGCTAAAAAAAGTAGTGTTAAAAACTAGTCTGGCAAACAGGTAGACTTAGGAGCCCAGAATAACTAGATTCATAGAGAATGAAGAGAAAGAACCTGAGAAAAGAACCTGCAGAGTAGGAGCCAGTAAAATTTTCTGTAAGGTTCCAGATACTTATGGTCTCTACAGCAACTACTCAGCTCGGTCACTGTAGTATGAAAGGGGCCACAGAAAAAATTAAATGAACAAGCTAGGCTATATTTCAAGAAAACTTATTTATGGACACTGAAATTTGAATTTTATGTAATTTTCATGTGTCACAAAATTATTCTTCTTTAGCTTTTTTTTTCAATCATTAAAAAAATGTAAAAACCATTCCTCTTTTTTTAAACTTGAAGTTGTTGTTTTGGTGGTTTTTTTTTTTTTTTAAGTTTAATTTATTTGTCAGAGAGGGAGAGAGAGAGAGAGAGAGAGCATGAGAGTGAGCACAAACAGGGGGAGTGGCAGGCAGAGGGGAAAGCAGGTTCTCCGCTGAGAAAGGAGCCCGAGGTGGAACTTCATCCCAGGACCCTGGGGATCATGACTTGAGCCCAAGGCAGGTGGTTAATAGATCGAGCCACACAGCTGTCCCTATAAAAATCATTAACTCGTGGGTCTTAAAAAAACAACATGGTAGGCTCGGGTATTCCCTGTGGATTATAGTTTGTCAACCACTAGTCTAGGGGAGAGTGAGAAAGAAGGCAGGCAGATTATACTTGGTTTAATAACTGGGGGGACTATTCATGATTAAACCTAATAAAAAATGCAGCTCCTTTCTAACACAATACATTAATGAGTCCCAGCTGCAAAGAAACAGGCATATTTCACTGTCCTAACATTAAAAAAGCTTAGAAATATAATCACTGATCCTGGGCAAAAATCATTCTCCTAATGGTACGCTAATGAAAACTTTAAGTAGATAATTCATTCTACAGAATCTTAAAATTATAGCAGTAGATAAATTACTCATTACCATTTTGTCCCTGAGTCGCTCTCCACGGATAAAAAAGTCAGCACAGCCATTCTCTTCCTGGTGAGGGACTTTGAAGACAGTGACGCAGCTCAGTCCACTCCCTCCAAGTGGTAGCCATCCACCACTTGAGTCATCCCGGGTCATCACCACAGCTCGCACTCGTGCATAACTATTACTAAAACAGATGCAAAGATTAGAAATTAGGTTTTCCATAAACAAGAAACAGCCAAGCTGTCAGTCTTATTTGAAGAAATAAAAAACCACATTAGTTAATGTGTGGTAACTAAAATGTTTCCTATTTCCATGACAATCCACAAAGTAACCTACTTGAAGGTAAAAAACCACAAACTAACCTAAAAGATCAACCTTTATCTTGAAGACTAACCTTACAATAAAAGACTGCAAATACTGTATTTCAATTCATCATCTGAGTAGTTCAAGCACATCTGATTGCTGTGGAACAAGTCATAAAGGACCCAGAGACAAATATTGTCAATCTACACAGACCACCATCAAACTTGTCTATTTATATCCACCTGTTGCAATATAACCAGGACAAATTAATGCTATATTTTAGCACATTTCACTGTGATATCTCTAAGTTTCTAACATTTCTAGATTATAAAAAAAGAGCTGAAACAAACACAGTACAGATACCACATTTTTTTATTTCCGCTATAAATCACACAAATCATATAAAGACAAATGTTCTGTTTCAAGAACTTATCAAGCAAACTCATCTATAGAAACTCTTCATGCTCTCTTTTTAGCAGTCTCTAAAGAGACCACATTCTAGTTCTAGCCAGAATCATTTCCCAACATTAACCACAACTGTTCTTTACATAAAATCTAAGAAATGTGTCACATAAGCTAATATTCTAGATTATTGATATCTAAGCATTTTAGTTCCAAACTTTCAATATAATAATTAATAACTCCTTTCTTAAAAGTAGCACACCTTGATAACTTCTTAAAAATTGTATTAAATAAAACTTAAACTTGTCTTGGTTACTATGACGATCAATTGAGGTTCTACGTAACAGTTCTGTGCTACTTTAGTATCTTTACATGTTCCAAGTGTTAGGCTGCCAGTTGTCATTTCTGTTGTCCTAGTGCTTGTCTGAAATCCTCCCAGTTGGGTTTTTTTCTCACTTTACATATTTATTTTGTTGAGGTATACTTTATATATAATACGTTGATCTTAAATATAAAATTCAACAAATTCTGACAAACGTACACATCTGCATAACCAACATGATCATCAAGATATGAAACATTTTCATAACTCCAGAAAATTCCTTTAAGCCTGCTTCCTATCCAACAAATAGGTAACCACTGTTGTGTTTCTAAACAAATAATTAGCTTTGACTGTTACAGGGTTTCAATACCCATGGAATCACCAGAATCACCATTTGTACCCTTTTCTTTTATTTATTTGACTCATTATGCTGTTATATTAGAAGTTCACACTTTTTTACTGCTAAGTAGTCCTTTCACTGAATAAATACATCACAATTCACTTATTCTTTCTTGTGTTGATGGGCAATTTGGATTGTTCCTAGTTGCTAGCTATTATGAATAAAGCTGTTATATAAATATTCTTGTACAAGCCCTTCTGTAGACATATTGCTTTCATTTCTCTTAATATAGAAGAATGGAATTGATGGTTTACAGGATAGTATGTTTAACTATAAAAGAAATTAACAAACTGTTTTCCAGAGTGGTTTTATCATTACACATTCCCATCAGTAATATATGATAATTTCAGTTGCTCCATATCCTTGCTAAAATTTGGTGTTTCCAGTCTTTTAAATTTTACTCATTATACTGAATTTACAGTGGCAACCCATTATGGTTTTAGTATCAATTTCCCTGATGACTCATGGCGTTGAACAACTTTTCATGTGGCAATGGGCCATTTATATGCCATCCTCTTTTTAAGTCTTTGGTCATTTTTTTATTATGCTTTTATTATTGATTTTTAGACATTCTGTATATATTCTTGGCCCAAGTATTTTGTCAGAAAGCTGTATATTTTTTTTAATATTTTTTATTTATTTAACAGACAAAGATCACAAGTAGGTGGAGAGGCAGGCAGAGAGAGAGGGGGAAGCAGGCTCCCTGCTGAGCAGAGAGCCTGATGAGGGGCTCGATCCCAGGACCCCGAGACCATGACCCGAGCCAAAGGCAGAGGCTTAACCCACTGAGCAACCCAGGCACCCTGAAAGCTGTATACTTTTAAGGATCACTGTGTTGTGGTTGAGTTTATACTTTTAAAGCATCACTGTGTTGTGGTTGAGGAGTTTAAAGTCATATTTTCACAAGTTGGATCCTGGCTCAGCAACTTACTAGCTGTGTGTCCTTGAGAAAGTTACGGTATATACCTTTAATAATTGTAAACAATGCCTGACACATAATAAACAATATTTAAGCATGAATTATTATTATTACTAAGACAAAGAACTAAAATTGTAGTAATCATCCTGGTAATTCAAAGCCAAGAAGGACCTGGGAAAAGATAAAATTTACACAACCATAATTCTCTATTATTGGTGTCAAAATGAATTCTTTAAGGGAAGCACTATAACTTTTTAGCTTTACAGGTTACTGTTCTAAGCTTTTTATTACTCAGTTACTCCGAGGCTCTGATTCTTGTCTGGACCCCATTTTTATCAATCTTCATCTCAGAGAACTGGTCAGAAGAGGTAGGAGTGCATAGCATAGAAGTTGGTATAACGCACGTATCAAATTGGAGTCTTCCTTTTAGGACAGACTGGAACAAGTACCTCTACTATAAACATGACATGTATACCCAGAAGCCAGGGAAGCTTGTTACACTGAGAACCAGCTTGGAGGTAAAGAATCAATACTAGACAAAGGTCATTTGGTTAGTCAAGAATTTATTAGGATACCCCAAAAGCACAGCACATAACCTGGACATATTAGGTTCAGATTAAATGTTTGTGAACTGAACTCCTTCATTTAAAGGTCAATATTTGAAGTTCAATGAAGTCACAAAGGTAGAACTTGGATTAAAACCAAAAATTCAAGTTCCCAACAAGCACTTAAGTATTTATTTTACTGTAAGATCCTGACTCTTCGTTCTCATCTAATGTTGTAGTAAACTGGGAAGTTTAAGAACTTTATCCTAGGTTCTACAAGACTTAGAAACCCCAAAGAGTAAAATAACCCGTATGTAGAAGCTCAGGTACATTTTGACTTCAGAGTGTAAGAGTAGTTAAACTCTTTAAGGCATAAACTCTTATTTTTTCATCTTTGAACTTTATTAATTCTCATTTACAATTTGTGTAATGCTTCTCAGCATTATTTTATACTTTAAAAATATAAAAATATCCATAAATAACAGTATGAGAAAGCATATTAAAAACCCTAAGTAGTTATTTTAGGATGGTGAAGTTTGGCATTTTCCCTTAATTTCTGTTTCTTCAAGATAATTTTATAATTAATATTTACAAGATGAGTGATTTAAATATAGAACTTACATTTTAACTACGTCTTGGCTTTATTCAAGATACTGTAAAAATAGAATGTCCTGTGTATGAACGCTTTTTCAAAAAAAGCATCCGTAACATAATTCTCTTTGTTAACCCAATTACTTTGTTTTCTATTTTATAAAGTGCCACCTAGAAGAGACATATTGTCCTCTCTAGAAAAATCAGATAAAACAAAGATCTCTTTAGGAGAAGAGTAATAAGGCTGCCTGATTCACTGTTCACTTTAATACAATAAAAGAAGTTTTCAGCTGACCAGTAATTTATATACTTTTTTAATCTCACTATACCAAATACGTCATTGTCTCCCTTAATTATTCAAGCTGATCCTTCAAGCTTTAAACTATCCCAGAAGCTTATGTAAGTAAATCTGTATTCCCCCTACCAGAGCCTTCATTAGTTTATAATTTAATAACTCAGCTTCCAACTTTAAGACCTAAGACTAGAATCTGTACCATAAAATGTTTCAAGTCGTTCCATAAATGTGTGGGGTGGGGCTTTGGTGTTTGTTTTTAAAGACAGACCTTCCTTCCTGCCAAAGTTAATCTTCTCACCTGTGCTTTCAATTATTATAATCTCTTTACCTTCAAATGTCTTCTTTTCCCAAATGAAAGTAGTTAACTTTTATCTAAAACATGCGACCTCATCTAAAGACTGACCTCATCTAAAGACTAATGGCAGTTCTTACAAATTGTCATATCTGCCTTTCAGTATAATAAAATTTATACTTGTAATCCCCTCTTTCTTTAGATAAAAGTAATTTTAGAGCAAGGAACCAAAGTGTATTGTTCTATTTAAAATAATAATAAACATTTCCCCCTGATCCTGTAAACAACAGAAGCCCATTTTAGTAAATGGGGAAAATAAAGAAAAATAATACTCGCCATCATACAATTAAAATCTTTTTTTTTTAAAGATTTTTTATTTATTTATTTGACAGACAGATCACAAGTAGGCAGAGAGGCAGGCAGAGAGAGGAGGAAGCAGGCTCCCCGCTGAGCAGAGAGCCCAATGTAGGGCTCGATCCCAGGACACTGGGATCACAACCTGAGTCAAAGGCAGAGGCTTTAACCCACTGAGCCACCCAGGTGCCCCCATACAATTAAAATCTCAAGAACTTGTTGGATTTTACTCTCTGTGTCTCATATTTGTAATCTATTAGTCTATTAGTGTAAGACAACAGCTATTTATGATGACAATTTGTTGTTACTGCTAAGAATCCAACAATTTCCCTCTTGAGCTGCTTTAAATATTTAGTTGAAAGGCACTTCTTCTCAGTGATTTATTTAAAAAAGTCAAATTTGACAATAACTACTTCTATAATTTTCTGAAATAGTTCAAACTAAAGCTCTATTCTTCCCTGTGGTAGTGGACTACACAATAACCACTTTTCATCCTAGCTTTTATTCTAGTAAAACGAAGAGGCTCTTATTGTACAACCTAGCTGGGTTTCATTTATCTTATTCAAAATCTAAATCGTATCTCAACTGCTAATCTCTGATCTCATCTGAACAATTGTTATCAAATATATCCTTTCACCTATAGTCAGCAAATTAGAAAACAAATGAACAAGTACAGGTGAGAGGTAATGTTGGATTGGCCTTGGGTGATAATAGACACAAGAGGAAAGAATTGATTTGGGTCTGGTTTTTTTTGTTTGTTT